TGATAAACTGACGGGGATATACATCACTTTACAGACAATCTTTCAGAAAATCAACGCGAGTAGCTTCACGGGGATTCGACAGCGCAGTGTCAATAATTGGTGAAGACGCTTCGCCGCGTATGTAGGGAGGTTCTCTTTGAAATAGCGGAAACATCCTTTCCGTTTGATCTATTTGAATGAAACAAGTAACGCAATATGAGCAAAATTGATATTAGCCATCAATTTCGACAAATCGAACAGTAATTGCACGAAAATAGTAAGATGTAACAGAAACCCATTCCGGATGCTCGTTTCACTCGCAGTGCGACAGCGGAATCAAAGAGGTAAGCGAATCAGCAACCGTTGCTGTCAGATATCTATTCCAGAAAACGGAATGTTGACGAACTTAGACATAGCGTTTTACAATTCAGTTTCGCCGTGCACACCCTGACCTTGAGCTATTTCCAGACCGAATTCGTGGTTACAAAGAAACGTAGTTTGCCTTACTAATCATTTGGTAATTTATAAACTATCATTTATTTTCGCTAATCAGTATGCTTATTTTCTCCTCATTTTGCAACGATCTGAATTGACCGTTGTTAGTAAGGACAATAAACAGTTTGAGTCATTTTCAGATTTCTACATTAGTCAGTTTTTCCTCATATATCATAAATCAGGGGAATACGGATGTTTTACTGAGAAGGTCTTCGGGATTTGTTTATCTATATGCTCTAAACTCAATCCACATACACCCTAAACAGAGAAAAAACTAAACATCATACCAGCTTTCCGATAAAAAGATCGCTGGTGTCAAGCTGAAAACGGGAAATGAAATTATAAAAAACAGTGTACTCAACTATTTTCCTGGAGCTTATTCCTAAACAAACACCGAGCTTTAACGGACGACCGAAATGATAGTTCTGCGCATATTATGTAGTGACAAAGATGAGAAACTCATTTATCTGCCTCGCCTACAACCAACTAACAGGGTCATCAGTTATATCTACCATTTCACGGAGTTTCAAACACCCATGACCGCGTGGCTGTACAGCGCGTATCATAGCTTAATGTTTTGTACCGTTTATTACAGAAAAATGTTTAATTTTACATTAGAACACAAACCCCTTTTGCACTTTAGCACTTGTCTCAGTTTGGTTCACTGTTTGTTCTTTTAGCAAAAGAAACTGGTACGAGCAGCTTTTCTCTTTCCCCGTTCGCTTCGGTGCGATATACCAATATAATTTAATAATGATAGCACGCTTAATGGCGGAGAATAGTTGAAAACTAGTTCCCTGCATTTAACCCTGTTAGTTAACGTTAACGTTAGTCAGTTAACGCAGTAATATCGGTTCAGATGATTAAGATATCAAGGTCGTTCTGATGTGCAACTACACAACACTACACGACAACATTTGATAACTTGCTCCCTGTGAACGTCAACGTCGGCGTGTTGAGAATCTTTCAAAAACTTCCAGAGGTGCTTTCCAAGGAACCTGATGACCAGTCTCTAGCAAAGGGTGATTCATAATTGAACCGGGATTGCCCTATTGTGACCATGACCACAAACGATGTGTCGGAAGCTACAGACAAATCACTGACTGTTGGTCATCGATAGATATATATCAGACCATTAAAGTTCTGGAACCAGTTGTGCATTGAAACCCACGGTACCCAGACTTGAACACCCCATGGCTTAGGGCGATTTCCGTCAAAGACAACTACAAGGTCCATTGAATAACAGGCGTATTTTGCGCTTCTGGAAACTGCTTTATTCACGTCGTTTTCAGTTATACAACAGTTGGTTACCATTTATCATTAGGATAGAAGAAATATAGAAATTAAATGAATGTTATTCCTCAAAAACATATCACTTCTTGGGGACGACATTACTCCGAGATTTTAATTGCTCATCTTTGTAAAATGATCAGTGTGAATTTTCTAACTGAGCTGTGAGCTTATATGCTGACACAAGTTATACAATTATATATAATATATCACATAGTATATATATATATAATATATGTATGACTATGGAAAATTTTATAGATTTGTGCACCAAATCAAGTCCAGTGTACATCCTGTTTGACCTTGCTAGGTGGAAAAGCCCTCAAGATAAAAATGTCATTGATTTTGCTGGCGGACAATCTACACCTGAATTCGGAACACCAACCAAGCAATATGAATTACAGGACCAGAATCGACAATCAGCTCTCACGGACTGGATCGCAGAAGCACTGCCCCACGAGAACGAGAAGAGAGGAAAAGGCCAGAGGACAGGCGGTAAGTAGTTCCTTTATTGGAAGAAATGAAGGTGATTAAATAATACGTACAAAGGGAGATTATTGGTTACCTGGGCAACCACCAATTCGATTGCAGCACCGCTTGCATAATCTTGCTTCTGTCTGCATTGTCTAGGATTGGCTGGCACCATCCGCCAATGACGTGTATTCAGAAGCTATGCACGTGCTATTAATGTCAGCATTCAAACTTGATTGATCGCCAATGTCCTGAAACTGTAACGCGCCGCTCCAGGGTAGGCGGCTTCGTGTAGGCCTGGATCATCACAACTCTCCTCCCTCAAAAGAGCTTCGTCAAATTGGTTTGCTCTTCTGATTGGTCGTCGGAGTGCTAGTGGGGTATCCTCGTCCGTAGACATTCCCTGAATAAGGGGCTGTTGCGTATGATCTTCAGTATTTGTTGACGGCGTATCACAGAGCAGGTTTTATTGGGTTTCTTTGGAAAGATCTTCAGTCCAAGTCGGAGTTTCGTTGAAGTGATTTTGGTCGATGTGGCATCGATGGACCGTTGCATCTGTCAGATCAGTTATCTCGACGATAGCTTGACCAATCTTGCGGGTAATGATTCCTCTTGATGGTCGCAATTCGTTTCCTCGGAAGTATATGACGTCACTCAATTCCACGCATCGCAGTGAGGACCGTAAGCTTCTGGCTTTGAACAGTTTCGCTGGGCTCTCTTTGGTGGCAGCATGTGCGGCATTCCGGTATTGCAGTAGGAAGTTGTCTAGGAGTATCTCCAACTCAACAATTGACCTTGGATTTGCAGAGGAAGTGGCACTCCCCACTGTTTCCACCAAATTTTCAGCTGCTCCGTTCGAACAGGGGTGACGTGGTGCTGTGCATAGATGTCGGCATCCAATACTGTCCAGCCACGTTTTCAACTCCACCGCGCAGAATTGCGATCCATTGTCAGTTACCAACACTTAAGGAACACCCTCTCGACTGAAACATTTTCGTAGTACCCGCATCACAAACGATGTAGTTGGTGTACTGGTTAGAAACACTTCAGGCCATTTTGAGTACGAATCGATAAGTACTAGTGCGTGATAATGAGCGAGCAATGGTCCACAGAAATCGGCGTGCACACGTTGCCGCGGAATACAGCTTTCTGGCCATGGAACCCAATTCTTCGGTTTTGACTTCTGCTTTTGTAGGCATGCTTCGCAGTTCTTAGCAGTTCGATCAATGTCTTCATCTAGACAGGGCTACCAGCATATCTGTCTTGCCAACGACTTCATCTTCTCCACTCCTAAGTGGCCTTTGTGTAGGTCTTCTAGCACAGCCTTGCGTAACGGAGGTGGGATGATCAGTCGATTGTTGCGGCATAGTATTCCGTCAGGTTGGACAATAATTTCTTCATGGTGTGCATAGAATGCTGCGAACCAAACTCTTCAGATCGGGACGCCATCCTTTTGATAGAGCCGTTATGATTTCTGCACAGTATCTTTTGGTACATCGGCGCAACTCCTCTCGTGATACCGGGGCAGCAGTAGCAATGAAATGACACCTCTTAGCCTCGGAGAATTCGGATCACCGCGAGATAAAATCGGCTTGGGGAATTGCTTTGACCGGACAGTGCACTATGTCATAGTCGTAGGCAGCCAATGCAGTGCTCCATCGCTGAATGATCGCCGCTGTCGGTTTGGAAATCGACTTTTAAGGACTGAATAGATACTGCAAAGCTTGATGATCGGTTATGATGATGAAACGCAACCAAACAAGTATTTGTGTAGGCGTTGGACGGCCCATTATACAGCTAGTGCTTCTTTCTGTGTCTGCGAATATCCTCGTTTTGCCGTGTTTAGTAGACGGGAGATGTAGACAACTGGGCATCCGTTCTGTTTGATGAGAGCACCAATGCCAAGATCTGATGTGTCGGTGATCAAAGTTGGATGTGTTGTCGGAGAGAACCAGGCGAGAACTGGTCGGTCAGTTATCATCTGAACGATTTCACGCAGAATTTGTTCACACTCGGTAGTCCGTTTCCATTCCGTAGTCGACTGAGCAGCAAACAGCGGTTGGGTTTTTGTGGCGAAGTTCGGGATGAAACGCGAATAGTATTGGATACATTCCATGATGGATCTGAGTTGGTTTTGGTCTCTTGGTGACTCGAGTTCAGTCAATGGCCGGAAGTGAATTGGATCAGGACGGTAGCATTTTGCATCTACTGTGAAACCCAAGAATTCCAATTCTGGTGAGCTGAGCATGCATTTGGATGCGCGAATTGACAGGTTCTTTTGGGCAAACCGCTCCAGTAGTTTGAGAAGTCTATCGTCATGCTCGGCCATGCTATCGCTCCATCGGTTATATTGATGTTTTGATTAATCAGTTATAATTTCACAACATTTCGGCGCAAATGCATTTTCGCATTATAGATTCCGTCTTGTTTGACAATATTACTGAATACTGACCGAGTTGTCCTGGATCAAGTGCCAAAGATATTCACCCAAAAACAAAGTATAGTCCGATTCCTGAAGATTTACACAAGCGAAAAACATTCTATCAAAATGAATCTCGCAAAATATGTTTTCTAAGGAATCTCTTATAGAATCCTTGATGAAGAATGCAGTGCATCTTCTGATTTAAGTTGTGTGCTTATGTTCGCATTTAACTCCCAGTTACTTGTGAGTAGTGGTGTTGGATAATTGATATTGATTGATTTGAACTGACCATCCTTCGGATTTCACCTTCACACAATCTTCGCAGTTCATCGAGTTACCATACACTCGAAAGTACTAGACCCATCGAGTTTCGCTCTTATTAGGGCTCATTAGTAGTGCATATCTACCCTCGGGTGGCTTCACACGAAGCGAACGTTGTTCGGGTTTGACACGTTGAATATTATCACCAATCGGATTACTCTCGGGAAAAAGTTGGCCAACTGGATCAATCACCGCACATTCAATCAAAGGTGTCTTCAAAACAACATTATTCCCAAATCGCTTCGTGTGAAGCCACCCGATAACTCATATCGCTCGCAAAAGGCGGCAATAACGGCCTCACGCACATTCCTACGACAACGTGTACATGACTGCTATACAAAAATTCGCTCGTTGTGCTTCAGGATTAAAAATCTCGACGATAGTCTCAATGTCTTATTACCATCAGACATTCTCGAAGAGCTTCGTATCATCATCGAACATCGGAGGGAACACGCCTTCAAATCTTGTCAATGTCGACAGCTACGCAAATACATAGAACTGGCGAAAAAGACTTCAACTGCAACCGGACCAAAACCTACTCAAAGNAGAGAAAACCCCTAGGAACACAAGAAGTGGTTCCTTCACTGGAGCAAGCATTAACGAAGCTTTTAAAAGAAAATGCCAATGAAGCCCGCCTGAGGATATGTAACGTTCTTAAGAACCAGAAGTCTAGTTTTCCGAACATATCAACTGAAGAAAGAAATGCTCTGTCCTCCTTGAGGCGTGATACCTCTATCCACATCACGAATGCAGACAAAGGTAACATCACAATCATTTTAAACACCTCAGACAATGAAGCCAAGGTTCTCGAACATCTGAACAATGGACCCTATATTGCGATCGAAGGAAGCAAAGCGAATGCTACGTTAAACAAAAGCAAGGCTCAAACGAGCAAATATTTGT